GCAGCGATTTTAAGTAGCAAATGGTGTTACATATAGCGCCGATTGCCAAGTGATTTTTATATGAAATTTTACACCTTTTTTTACTTTGTTGATAATACAATTGTTCGTTATAATTCTTTCAAATATTTTTTTTTTATTAAAATAAATATAAACCATTTTTTTTTTAAAAAAAATAAAGTATTATTGAACAAATAAAGTCCTTGAATAAATTTCAGCTTTGTATTCACAAGTTAAAAGTTTGTCACTTGTAAAAGAAAAGATATGATAAAGCTTATTATTTAAATTAAAGGTTTGAAAGGTTTTAATAAAAACTCTTGAAAGGTATGTCTATTAAAAATAATTTTTGCTTAATATATTATTTGCTTTTATATTTTTTTTATATTTTATTCTAAATATATTATAATACATTGAATAGATATTAAACATTACTTTTTTTTACTTGAATTTTTGAAATTCTGATATTTTTTTTATTTACTTGATTAATATAGTAGAAAATATTTTAATTAGAACTTCTTTTTTTAAAATGTAAGAAATAATCAACTCTAATATTATTAAACAAATTTACTTAACTTTAGAAGGTATTCCACTAAACATAAAGTATATCATTAACAAAAAAAAAAAAGTAAAAGTCGCATGTCATATAGTATGAAAAAAAAATTACTTCAAAGTTAGAAGATACCAAATTCTTCTACTAATGAAAAAATTGAATAAATATTAGTATTTTTAAAATAATATTAGAATGTATGAAATAGAAGGAAAATTAAAGACTAAAAACTTTTATTAAAATAAAAATAAAAATTTTATTTTATTATAAAAAAATTGATTTTTTGAATTTTACATAAAAATTATCTGAAAACCAACTTTTGTAACGTAAGAAATTCTTTTTTCTCTTGTAAATTTACATATATTTTTATTGTTGGAACTGTGTATTTGTTCATACTTTTAAAAGAATCTTAAAAAATACCTTAATTTTAAAACGAAAGTTTGTGTATATGTTAAAAAAAAATTATTAAAGCATGAAAAAATTGATTGAACCTGATAATATATTTGATATTCCATTAAATTACTTAATTTAAATCAACGTTTTATAATGAAACAAGTGAACAAAAATAAAATGAAGTGATACAAATATAGTTACACAAAATTCATTTTAATATGAAAATGATTTTCATCAATAATGCGTTATGATTGATATATATTTATTATTAGTATTAACAATCAGTGGTCATATCAGATCACTTGATGATCATTAATTAAAAATTTTGTATAATGATAAATTATTGAAATTTAATATGTAAATAACATTTTCATAATGAATGAAGTTTTAATGTTTTTAAGTTCTCATTTATACTTTTTTTATAATATAATATTTTTACAAAATACTCTTATTGGGCTGATATTTCCTATTTTTTTGGACTTTAACCCCAGATGCAAGTTTATATCAAAATTAAACACCATTTTAAATTACTAATTATACGTAGATTTTATGTGCAATTGAAATATATTGATTTCAAGAGGCAGTTATGTAAATTTAGTATATAATTGACAAATTATTTGATATGTATTATTTTATTTACAACCAAAATAAAGTTTTTTACATTTTATTTATCTTTATAATAATTCTACCATTCTCATACCTTTTTTTTGGTCTAAACTTTGGACAAATGTTTACAAATAGAAGCTATAACATCATTTAGAAGCTTATCTTTATATACTTTCAATGCAGAAAGTATTTCTGTTTCATTTTTCGTAATACAATGCTTTTTTTGTCTAGGTTGTAGCAGTAGGTAATCTTAGATAAGTCATTAGAATTTTCTTCTATATTTTTTTGTGTTAATTAAGATTTAACAATAGGTTGATTTGTTTTTTCAGTTTCACATTTTGATTTTTTTTGACTATTATAATCTTTTAATTTTATTTTAACTACTCCTACTTTTCTTTTACTTTTTGTATTCTGCTTTCTATTATTAAGACTTCCTGTTGGTATATTCCTTTAATTCATTTTAATCTATTTAGATAACAAGAAATAAAGCAATCAAGTCCCCTTTAATGCATTTCTGTAGATAGTTATTTTTGAAATAGTTAATAAGATAGAGGATTATTCATCCCAAAAATTATTACTAAATCATTAACAAGTTCTCATATAGATTCTTGATGTGATTCAATTGTTTATTCACTATATGAATTAAATAATCATCAAGATATTCACACATCAACAGATCTATCCTTCTCTTTCATTTTGAGATATTTTTATTTGATTTTTAAGATTTTTCTTATCAATAACATTTCTACTCACATTTATCTTAATAAATCTCATACCAAATGTTTCTAGAGCCTCATCAAATCCAAAGTAAATATTATGCATATTTTTTAGACATACTTTGTGAAATTTTAAAAGCAATACAACAATGAAATTTTTCTTCTAATTGAAGTTGAGATGCAATAGTGACGAGAAAGTATGCTATTGTAGTTGTATTATTATATTTTATGACATTTGCAAAAAAGGAACAGCTGCAAATAAAGAATTTCATTGTAAATTAAAGTTACTAATGCATATTTCCATTTAGTGTATCTTCTAAATGCTAATCCATTTATAATATAAATATCATATATGTAATAATTGCAAAATAAGATAAATAAATTTTTTTATTTAACATTAAAAAATAGTATATAGATTTCTACCTCCATTTGTTTTCTTTTTGTGAATTTTTATATATCCTTTATAATTACTTAATCTTGTTTTTTCTGGCTTAAGTCATTGATCTCTTCTTCTTACTCCCTTGATCTTTGTTCTATAAGATAGTGGTTAACCCTTTTCCTTGAGCATCTTGTTGCTCAACTACATTAGATTTTAATGCATCTTTTTTATAGGCTTGAGTTATTGAACCTAAACCTGCTTCAGAATCAGTAGTTGGATTAATCACTTTTGGTTTTTCTCTTCTTTGATCCCTTTCTTGAATATGAATTACTAGAGTTCTCTCCCTTGGTCTTTGAGCTGTAAGATGAAAACAACTACTTCTGCTTATAGTTCAAGAGATTATAAATAAATAGGATTAGATATTGATGCTTGAATAGGCTTTGATTTGCATTTAACTTTCTATTTAGATGCTTATGAAGTTTATTAAAATTTGTATATACTTTATCACATCAATCACAAGTTTATTTTTCTTATCACTTCTTATCATACTTATGTATATATAATACCTTTATAAATTTTTTCTTTAATTAATTTAATTATCTTAATATTGGTAAATATCTAAGGGATATAATATTTTATTACCTTTTTTTTAATTAATTATTTCTTCTTATTATTAAAATAATCAAAGAATATTTTTGTTTATACTTACTCAATATTGGTAAGACCTGTGATAATCCTTGCATTTGATCTATGATATAATGAGGTATCATTTTCATTAGAAGGCTAAGCTTGTGTGTTTATAGTGAATATTAAGGTTTTACAATTTGATTTGATATTTGAATATTTGATTTAATTCGATCAAATTTAAATCAAAGAATGATTTATTTAATCAAATCTAAATTAATGTTTGATTTGATTCAATCAAATTTAAATCAAGTATTCAAATATTTGATTTGATTTAAATCAATAGTAAACTATTTCCAAAGCTTCAGAAGTGGCTCTTATTAAGAAAACCATAGTAAAAAGTGTCTTTGCAGCTTCAGAAATGCCTTTTTATTAAGAAAACCATAACAAAAATGCTTTTATAGCTTCGAAAATGCCTTTTTACTAAGAAAAATATAGTAAAAATGCTTTCATAGCTTTGAAGATGTTATTTTATTAGTAAAAATACCGTTTCAGCTTTAGAGACATTTTTTATTAAAAAAAACATAGTAAAAAATACCTTTGCAGCTTTGAAGACCTTTTTTACTAAGAAAATATAGTAAAAAAATACATTTACAGCTTTGGAGACTTTTTTTACTAAAAAATTTAATAAAAAAATACATTTGCAATTTTGGAAACATTTTTTACTAATAAAATAGTTTTGAAGCTGTAATAACAGTTATTACTAAGTTTCTAGTAAACCAAAGCTGTGATAGCGATTATTACTAAATTTTTTTAGTAAAACTACGTAGAGTTATTTTATTAAGTTTCTTAGTAAACCAAAACTACAAATTGTTTTACTAAGTTTTTAATAATAAAAATTCACCTGTTATTAAACTTAATAATTTTCTTATAAAACTTTAGAATAACTTTATTTTAATATATCATGTAAATTTTTTTATATTCAATTCGATTCGATCAAATATTTGATTTGATTTGATTTGACAAATAGCTTAAATATTTGATTTAATTCAATTTTGAGGAACCCTAGTAAAAGGTAAGTTAGTATGAAGATAATAGATAATGTGAAGAATGAAGATACAAAAACTAGCAATTAAGATAAAAATCAATAAATAGAAAAATACATAATTGTTATCATTTTATAAAACAGAATAACTTAAAATTTTATTGTTAGTAAATTGTTTTATTATGTATATATATTCATTATCTACTCATATTAACTTTGAATTATATTTTTAGGAATATTAGATACATTTAGTAAAAAAAAAATATATTTAAAAGAAAATATAGAGAAAGAAAAAACATCATCATTATTAATAAACTTTTATAAACATTCACTTTATTCACTTTATATATACTTTATCTATTAAAACTTCTGCAAATACGAGTACAATTAATTGATTTATATAAATTGTAGATTATTAAACTTTAAACTTTTATTTTATGTATCACAAATAATTTAACAATAAGTTTGAACTTTATAAATAACTAAAGCTGATAGGTAGATATTATATAATTAATAGATAAATTATATAGAATATTCTAAATATTATATCCTGTAATTATTAACGATTTTAAATAATAGATAAATCTAATATTATTAGTTCTGATTTTATAAATTCAATTTTAGGCTATTTTTAAACTGAAGAATGACTTAATTTGTAAATACTGTAAAATGATGTGATTGATTTATTTAACGTTATTGGGTATAATGAGGCGTATAATTATTACCATAAAGTATGCTGTTATGGTTATTATTATTGTTTGGATTTGAAGTATTAAAAGAACTTTCAACTCGAGAATTTCTACTCGTATTTCTATCATCATTAATAGGGGACACTACGCCTCGATTGTTATAATTTCTCATCATGATATTATTGTCGATATTAAGAGAAATCGCACCTTGGTTCGAATTCCTACCGTAATTTCTCACATTCGAGGTAACGTTATTAGGAAAAATCGCACCTTGATTCGTATTCCTGCCATAATTTCTTGCATTCACGTTGTCGTCATTAGGAAAAATCGCACCTTGATTCGTATTCCTGCCATAATTTCTTGCATTCCCGTTGTCGTCATTAGGAGAAATCGCACCTTGGTTCGAATTCCTACCGTCATTAATGGTATTACCGTGAATAATATTATTACCAAAACCACCCGTAAGTATATTTCCAAAACCTTCATTACTATTATTATTTTGAGTAGCAAAAGTGGTGGCAGAATAATTACTTTCTCTATTATCACTAGGAATACACAATATATTACTATCGTTATCAATTGTAGTATGTTTAAGATTATTTTTCAAAAATCTTCTTTTCTGTCTTCTTTTAAGATGTATTAATATCCATGCAGTAGCCGCAAATATACCAACAAATCCTCCTAACACGGAAACAATGATTATAGTAGATCCGTCATTATCGTCATCTTGGGATGGAATCGATTCCTTTTTTGAATTGTTTGAATTATTTGGGTGTATATTTGCGAACTCGTTTGGTGCGAGTTCAATTCCAGGTGGCAAAAGAAGTTCATCGATCACGTGTAAATTTCCATTATTTAATAAAATATCGGGAGTAATTACTACTGATTTATCGACCAAAAGAACCTTTCCTATTTTTGAAATCGGAATTGTAGATCTTTCATAACTTTTTAGATTGTCCGAAGTTCCTTCTAATAATTCACCTGAAAAAACTACTCTATCTGGTACAATATGATGTCGAATAATACTAGTAAGCCGTGATAAATTGTTGCTTGAGAGCAATTCAGGATGGACTTTTTTCAACGCTTCATTTGATGGTGCAAATATTGTGGCTCCTATCAATCCGTCGAATAACTTTTCAAGGCTTGCTGCGGTGATTAATTTTCCAAAACCATTTATGTCTTTTCTTTGAACCATTACGCTCATTGGATTTTTTGGTAACTCGATAACTAAAAATAATATTGGACAAATTTTAACAAAAGTTTCGTTTGTTAAATAAATATATTTTTTTTTTTTTGCAACTCACTTGCGTCAACGATTTGGATGATTCCGTTACTTGCGACATAATCGGCACCAACCACTTTTCCTACATTGCCATTTCCATTGCTAATGGTAAGCGTTTCACCTTCATTATTAATGATAAGTTTTTGCTTTGTCTTTGCTGCTAATTTTACAAAGTCTGGAGAATCAACAAGTGTTTGTTCATAATGAATACCAATGAAATCAGTTGATTTCGTTTCTATAGGAATAATATGATACTTTAACATATTATCGATAGCAACGTCACTTAATTTTCCTGCTTTTGCAAATGCTTGATCTGATGGGGCAAATATTGTATACTTAATTCCTTTACCTATTATCGTATCTTCAATGATTGGAAGCTTTTTTGCCAGTTCTGTCACAACAGCAAACATTTGCAATTGCATATTATTTTGTATATTTGTTAAAATATCTACTTCTATATTTTGCGTAAGGCATAAGGATAAAATCGATAAAAAAATAAGATATCTTATTATTGTAATTCGAAACATCTTTTTTATCTTTGTTTTTTTTTATTTTAAGGGGGGGGGGAGATAGATGGAAGGAAAATTACATCTCTCTTTTATATAACCTTAAGCAATCAATCATCACCATAAACGGTAATGTTAGAAACACGTAATTTGTGCAATCAATCAAATGAACTCACGATGAATAAATAGATCAACGCGTAATTTTTTTTATTATACAGTAATGACATATTTGTACAATCAACAACTTTTCTAAAAACAAACTCAATGAAAATAAATAGATCAGCAAAAAAATCTAATACAAAATACTAAATAATATATTCTGTAACATCACAGCTATAGATTAGATTTATAATTTTGTAGTTGTTGAGAGAAATAAACTCTCCATGATGTGGCATTTGTAATTTGTTCCATACCGTAAACAGTATTATTATAGGTTACTCCGACATTTGTGGAGTAATTAATATCTTCCGGCATTCCCCACTTTCCACCAGAAACACCTTTTTCATTAAATACGATACCATCAAATTTACCATTATCCACAACAATGATACAATATCCCCCATATCTCAAACTCACGGTTCCCCCAATATCAGTTGTAGGGGTTACTTCATTCGATTGAAATTCGTAGGTCGAGGTGATTTTTCCAGCCTCTGAAAATCCGATAGATATAAATTTTGTGATGGGATCCCTTTTTATCGTTATTAGGCATCGGTAGCCATAACCTCCAACTTGAGCATGGCAAACCTGAATCGCAAATTTAACTTCGTCCGTTTCACCTTGTCCAAGATTATAATATATATTAAAGGGACCGTTGTAAAATTCACTTTCACTTGTTAAAAAATAAGCCGCCAAGCCAATGGGAGGAATGTAGAGATTTTTAGCCGTATACTGTTTATAAGAGCCAATCACGACTGAATAACTGCCTGGACCAACTGGGAACACTTTCACAAGTGATCCTTTAAGTGATTCATTAACTTCTGTAATTTCTCCATAATTAATTCTTTTTATCAGACTTTCATTAATTACCCAGTTTTGCCATGAAAGTGTCGAACCAGTATAACACAGAAAGAGAAATCCATTTTGTCCTCTTATTGCATTATATTCAGTGCAATGCTCTTCAAACCTTATCTTTTGAAGGGGGGTTCTTATGTCATATTTTAAATATATATTGCCGCAGGTCAATAACACATCAGTTCCACATTGAAAGTAGAGGAGGATAAGATTGTCGGCGAAAGTGAGAACTCCAATTCTATCTGGGACGGGTGCAGGTGATTTAGCCGTTCCTTTGGGTGAATCATCAGGTGAATCATCAGGAGTTCCTTTAGGTGAATCATCAGGCGTTCCTTTGGGTGTAACATCATTTGGCGATCGACAAAAATTTGTTGGACTAATATCAGCGATATCTTCGCCTGCTAAATTAAATGGCGTTACTATACCTTCGGCTGTGATAGTACGGAACATAATGATTGCTTCATTACAACCGGTTACTGCTTCATAACGGGCTAACCTAAATACAATAGTATTGTCAGGGTGCGAAGAATCGGCGTATAGCGCTCCTAATCCTGTAGTATTTTCATCAATAGTAACGTTCGGTATTTGACCAACTGTCAATGTAACCAGGAGAACCAAGATCAAAATTACTTGGTTCACCCAGAATCTTTCATAAACATACATATTTTTTTATTCAATTAATCCTTCAACCGAAAAAAAAAATACCTTTTGACCTATTTTTATGTAAAAAAAAAAAATTATTTCATTTGGTTAAATGAATATACAAATATATTTATTACATTTTTGATTAAGATTGATAAAAATGAAAACATTACGTAATTGAATGGCTGTTGTACCTTTTTGTTTTACACGTCAAATTTTCTGTACTAAAAAGGGATTCGAGTTATACAATTCCATGTGCAATTATAACAATGAGAATTATTTATAGCACAATATAACTAATTTAAGGTTTTGTTAATTTTTTCACACTTTATCTAACTTTAAAGTTCTTGCACCCTGTAACGACAACCTAGTTCGCTGCTTTTTGCTCTTTCTTCTTCACTATGCAACCTCTACATTATGGTGCCACAAACAGGAAATCAATTTAAAAATGTGTGTTGATAGAATTTTTATTCCCAAATCGGGTTAATATTGTTTTATGAAGATCATTTTTTTTATTTATTATTATTAAATGAAAAGCTTAAAAAGGTAATTATAAATCAATGGTAATTATCCATTTTTGTTTAAAACATATATTAACTTCTTTGTTACGTAGCAAGGGCAAAATTTTCTTCCGTTTTCAAGTATAAATCTCTTTATAAACACAAATTCAATTCAATTAGGAATATTATCACCGATTTTTATTTATAAAAAGAAAGGTTAAAGCCCAGCCCGAAAGGCAAATATATTCACAGCTTATAATCGGAGTCTAAATACCGTTTAGAAGTAGTACGCTAATATAGTTAAGGACTGACAAATTATCATTGTAGCAATGCTTTCCGCAAATAGAGAAAAAAAAGGATAATCTCATTTATTGGTCCTTCCTATAATAAAAATAAAAGAAAAGTTGTAATTTTAAATTGTCAACTAAATCCCTAAACATATGCCATATCTTCTAAGATATTGAGCGTCCCCTAATCTATTTGTTATTTCCTTAAATGAAACCATCTTGTTAAGCCTCTGGTAAGACTTTTAAGCTTCTTTGAATTTAATGATTTGATTGAAATCATATCACACCATGATAATATATTTTTTTTTAAATGTCATTGTTTCGTGGAAATTTGTAACATGAAAATCTGACATACTTGCATTCGTACAATCTTTTAAAAATGAAAGGCTTAAAATTCAAACCCTAATTTGCAGAATTTTCATTCTCGAATTTGTAATTTTTTGACCAAAAGATCAATAATAAATTAAAGTTTCGATTGATGGTAAAATTATCCAAGTAATAAATAAGTTCATTTTGAATGGAAATTTTCACCATTAGTAAAGATTTGTTGACAAATAATTTAATATATGCAAAAAAAAAAATTGCTGCAAACCGATTACAAGAAACAATCTGAACAGATGATTTTTGACATTTTTCGGACGTTTTCTGTATGTATCCTGTACGTTTTCTGAATGTTCTTTTTTTAAGGGCTGAGTGATCCGAGGGATTTGGGAACTGCTTTTACAAAATTATATGTTACGTTAGCAATTGTTGACAAAGGTAATTGTTTCTATAATAACGAGCTTTCAATTAATTACAATAAATATAAATCATTGCTGCGTTAAAATTTCTGTGTATCCTGAATCTTAACTTACCCTACAAGAACGAGAATCCAAAGTTCGCGTAATGGAATTGTCCAATATTAAAAAGGAATAATGTTTTTGAATTTGATAATTAGTTTAATAAATTTTTGAATTCGTTCATATTACATCATTTATAAAAATATATTCCGAGACGTTAATTAAATTTATCTTTTATGGCGGGACTTTAATGAACGCGAATTGATTAAGGGCGGGCGAGATTTCGTTTGAAACTCATATTGAGTTTCGTTATTCATAATTGCAAAATAAAATAAAATTTTATTTTTTTCATGTTTACAATTAAAAAATTTTTTTTAATAAATTTGAAGGAACTAATGTTTTACAACTACTCTTATTTATATATTAAGATAGAAAAGTTTTTCAATTAGAGATACTAGGGAATCCGATCTTTGAGATATCTAAAACATTCCGGAATCAAATGATTTAAGTATTTTCAAAATATTCAGATTTCCTTTTTATTTAGATTCATTAAGCTGCAAATTCTCTGTGAAATATTATCTTGCTTGATAACATCACACAATGTTGCAAAACGAAAGTCAGATCTGCATGAAGTATTGCATTCAGATGTCTTCATCAATTCAAAACTAAAATGCGAAAAGCCAGATAACAAATTTCTGTTTCAAAAAAAAAAAATAAAATAAAATAACGGAGATCACCAGTGTAATTTACATTTATTTGATTAAATAAAAACAAAAAATGAGAAAAATAAAAAAATAAAATTCGATAAATATGTTACCATCAACGCTAAACATCTTAACACACAAATTTAAAAACACAAAAATTTAAATTCATTGAATTTATAAAATTAGAATACGACGACGTCTTTGTCTGTTGTAAAACCAAAATAAACCAACGCCTATCAACAAAATAAACAAAAATTTAGCTCCATCGACACCATGTGTCGTTACTATAGATATTAAAGGCATTGAAATTGGGAGCGTCGTTTTTGTAAATTCCAAATTTTCTGGGGTGTAACTTTGTTTCCAAGTATACGTGTTTGTATCTGAAACAAAAAAAAAAATAAAATAAAACAAGCAAAAATTATTTTATGCCAAATTTCAACCTGAAACCAAACCAAAATAAAAGAAACATACCAAGGACGTGTATATTATTATCGGCAGTATTATCTGCCAAATAACCTAATAAAATTTTCCAAAAATGTGAATATCACGTGACTTTATAAACACGAAACTTTTTTTTTGAAATGGAATGAATATATACCAAATGCAATCAACATATTGGTTCCAATGATCGTAGCCGTATGGGAATATCTTGCTGTCGGTATAACGCCGTTTGCCTTAACAACTTTCCAAGTATAAGGTTGTTTGGTGGTATCCAAGATTGCAATATCATCAAACATCCTAGTATAATCTTGGTTAACACCGCCGTGTATAATCACTTTACCGTCATGCGCTACAAATTAAAATTATTTAGTTGAGATATGTTGATTTCAAGTAATAATCAATTTTGCAACTTACTTCCTACTGCGGTATGATCTCTGCGTGCCGATGGTAAAGTACCAACTGCAGTCTGGACATAACATTAATAAATATATTATAAATATTTTTAAAAAGTTTAAAAACTCTAACAAACCTGAACACTCCATTTTTCTACTATCGTATCATAAACGTAAATTTGATTCATATCTGCTAATTTGTCCACGGAATACCCTCCAATTATATACATCTTTCCATCCGAAAGAATAGTTGCAGTATGATGAAATCTTCCTGGCGGTGTATTTATATCTACATTCATGATATTCCAGTGATTTCCCCTAGTATCCACTTTAAATAAATCCCGGAGTTGAAATTTTGCTGAAATCTTTGGGTCAGGTGTATTAATGCCACCAAAAAAGTAATTCATTGAATCATTGAATCTTGTAACGACCGTATGTTCTCTTATATTGACCGCAGGTTGTTTATCTTGTATACCTGCATAAATCCATAAAGGAGATTCCTCCGAAGTATTGTAGTAAAATAATGGATTCGCTGGTATAGGTACATCACTATATTCTCCACCATATAATACTAAAAGTTCATTTTGTAGTCCACCTAAACTGATTGTATGATAAGCAACTCGGGGGCCTACCAAACGTAATTTCCACGCAGGGTCTTTTATTGAGAAAGGTACTGATACATCGAGGATAAGAAGTTGGTTTGAATTCTGACTAGTATCCATAGGATCATCTTTCGAACTCGTTCCCACTTTTCCGCCATATATATATAATCTATAGTAAATTTAATTAACTCTCTATTAAATTTCTAATGATACAATAATTAATTTTACAATGGTCATTACATAATACCTACTTGTCATTCAAAAGCACGGCACTATGACCCCATCTTGGTTTTGACAAAATAGTCTCATTTGGTACAGAAACGAAAGCTAACGACACCGCAACTAGAGTTAGAAAACTGATAACCTTAAACATTACTTTCATGAAATAAGAAAGAATGTTAAATAACCATCATCAAATAATTTTTATTATATATGTTATATGTTAAAACTATTCAAGTAACGAAAATCCATTTAAAGTAATCTTGCAGCTTAGCCCTACTGTTTTTGGATCTCTCATCTTATTTTTTAAACTTGATTAGATAAACTATGATAGATTGATAAACGGAGCGTCCTTATCCTAGACCCTCCAGCAGTGCGGTCATGTGCGCATGCACATGACTGTTAAATTTCCGCAAATCGTACTAAAAATTTTTTATGCGCACAATACTGTATGTATGATATTTTGAATACTACCCATAATAATTTCCGCACACATGAAAATTTCTTTAAGAAGTCAAATTTGTTAAAATTGTTAATTATATATTAAGAATCTGTATAGATTTCTATAGCT